CACATAAACAAGTCTTAGAATCCTTTTCCTGTTCATTTACCTTTCTTTTCAAATACTCTTTTTGTCCTGTAACCATATTATTTTGACAGTTTTAATAAATAATTTGAGTACAAGGAGATTCAATCAAATTACTCCTTCAGCTTTTAATCAAACTGACACATCAAATCAGGTGCCTTTGGAACATTTGAGAGTGATCTGAAGCAGTGGTGGGATTCAAATAATTTAACGAACGGTTATCTGCCCTAATAACTGGGTGGGTAGGCCTGGCCAGGTGGTCATGTGACTGGGTAGGCAGGCCAACTCGACATCACACCAGGCTCCGCCTCCTGGCCACTCACCTCAAAGGTCTCAGCAAGATACATTTTCCTTATTTATTTACTACTATTGAACATCCAAAATACACTATTTAATCCTATGTATAAATGCCATATGTGTACATACACATTACATAGAGTGTGTATAGGCACACAGAAAGATACATTAGGTACTATATATACTGTATGTGTATGTATACACACACACAAATACACACAGCTCTTCTAAAACTATACACATTCAACCTCACACACCCAGAATCCACTTTCTGCCATACATTTAACTATAACTTCTGTACATTAGAACATTACACATGTTTTCAGATTTACTTCCCTAGCCTGCACATAGCCATTAGAGCCAGGAGATGTCATGGGCATTGCGAGGGAACTCTGGGCAATGAAGGGGGTGTCAGCCAGCAGCGGCAGTGGGCAACCAAAAGTGCATGGCTGGGGCCTACAGAGCCATCCTCCCCCCCATCTTAATGAAGCAGATGTCCTGGGCGTATTAGCAGAAGCGCTGGCAACACATGTTGAGGCCGTATTTGACGTCCATGCCGTTTGGAGGACACATGGCTGCAAGAGAAAGAGAGGCTGGGTAAACTGGACCCAGATGCTTCCTGGGTCCCCTCGTCCCAGAAGCACCAACCTCGCACTCTCCCCTCTCTGCTAGCAGCCTCCCCCTTCTCCCTCTCCCTCCCCGCTGCCGGGCGATCCCACGTTTCCTGCTGCTACCATTCCAGAGGGCGGGGAGTGGCTGGGAGGCCAGGTACTCCCACAACCTGACCAGGTGGGCAGGTGGGAGAGGACCAATCCAGACAGTGCAACCTCACAGCCCCTGGACTCCCCCCTCTGCTGGCAGCTGCAGTATGTGAGTCCGGGTGGGGGCAAGATGTGGGCTGGGGAAGAGGGCTGAGCAGCGGTGGCTCAACCTGCCTCTTCTTCCTCTCTGCCACCAGTTGCGACAGGAAGGGAAGGGCAGGCAGGGATCGGGGGCATGGCCAGCCAGGAAAGCCAAACAACTGCCCAGCCTGGAGCTGCTGGCGGGATGGGAGAGGCAGGGCCTGCGGGGTGCGTCGGCTTTCCCGGCCCTTTCTTTCTAAAACTGCCCAAAAGAGGGAGGGGAGGAAAGCCCCCACCTGGCCCCTTTTTCCCTGTACATGTGAGACAGCAACTTAACGGCGAGCAGCGAAGGCAGGCAAATGGGGTGTCAGGGTTCCAAGTAACACCCCCAATGAAAGAAGACTCCGAGGCTAGAAGTTCCTCAAAGTTCCATTTTATTAGAGATGTCATATTGACACATCTGGGAAAACCTGAATCTGAAAGCTTCCAGGTTTTCCTCACCCAAAAGAAAGTTCAAGTCCCTTCCCCCTGCATCCACATGTCCATCACATGGTCCAATCAATGCACCGTCCCAACTGGAGATGCCTCCCAGTCATGCCATTCCAGGAAAAGAATGTTATAATGGCTAGAGATTCCTGCAACTCCATGCAATTCCCCCTCCCAGTTTCCCACAACACTGTGTGCCAGCCCTGAAGATCCCCCCCCAAAAAAGATGGCCTCCAGGACTGACAGGCTGCCCCAACCCCCTTGACTGATAATTGTGTCCTGCAATGAGAGGAACATAGAGAGTTAATTCCATATTCCCTAACCACCTCTCCCCCCTCCCCCCGGGGAACCCTTTGGCTTATCAGGGAATTTATCATGGAATTGTTTCACTAATCTCTCTGCCTTTACATCCCAGCTTTTAACCCAAGTAGCTTCAGACAAAGGGTACACTTTCCAATGTGTTATGTCCTTATAAGGACATCCGCCCTGATTGGCTGCCAGCCATCGGGCGGGAAATTTGAATCCCTGTCAAGGGGCGGTGCGTCTGCCGGGAGCGAATATAAGGAGAGCTCCGGCAGCGCGCCAGCAGTCTTGACTCGTTACTTTGTACCTAATAAAGTTATTAATGTATCGAGCTGGTCCAGTCTTCCTTTCCTGCGCCTGATTCAACACTGGCGATGAAGGACTTGAGAGAAGAACCCGAACAAGACTCTTGGCACGATCGCCCACCTAGCTGAAGTCACTACACCACAGCGACTTCCAGAATGGCTACCCCGCAAGCCCCGATGACCGCGCTGAACCCATTCAACCCAGCCCGGGAGAAGTGGAGGTCATACATGGTCCGATTCCGGCAGTTCCTGCGAGGCAATGGATACCAGAACCTCGACGATGAGAGGAAAAGAGCCCTCTTCCTGGCTCATTGCGGATCGGACGTCCTAGAGATGGCGATTGACCTCGTGGCACCCAGGGACATTGAGGAGATGTCCTGGAATGACCTGCAGGAAGTCCTACAGGAGCATTACGCACCTACAGGCACCCCCATCGCGAACAGGTTCACCTTCCAGCAAAGAAACCAGCGGGAAGGTGAATCCGTCAAGGAATTCGTGGCAGCACTTCGCCAACTCGCTGCCAACTGCGAGTTCGATAACGTGGACAACGCCATCCGAGACCGCGTTGTTTTTGGCATGAGAGATGTGGGGCTGCAGAAAAAGTTCCTCAGCCGGAAGAGGATCCCGCTCAAAGACGTCCTCGACGAAGCAACAGCGGCTGAAACATCTGAGCAAGCAGCCGCCGCAATGGTAAAAGCAAGAGGGATCCATAAGATCCACAAGTCGGGCCTGACCTCATCAGACGAGGCAACCACGCAATCCGAGTCGGATGAGGAAAGGGCCGTCCACAAGGTTTCCCACCCCCCAGGCGGGAAAACCCACAGCATGGCGACCGGGGAGAACGATGCGGCAGTTGCAGAGGCGACCACCCCAGGGCAAACTGCAGATGGAGGGACGCGACCTGCCGCCGATGCCTGAAGAGGGGGCACATCGCCGAGGCCTGCAGAGCCACAGATCCAGCCCCGGAACCGCCCAGACCACGATTCCGGGAAAATCGCAAAGATAACCAGAGGACATCCAAACGGTCCTCAAACCAGTCCCGGCGCGGGGAGGAGGAATATCCCCGAAACAGAACGGTGCACCAGACCACCACCATTGCTCACACAAGCGACGAGGGGACCACCAAGTTCCACGTGACGCTGCTAGCAGAGGGGTCTCCGTGCAAGATGGAGGTAGACTCCGGATCCGCCTACTCCATCATGGACTGGCAGCACCTACAACAGCTGAAACTGGCATACAAAAGGACCCAGCTGAAAACCCCGAAAGCGAGACTTGTGGACTTCAACGGAAACCCCATTGAAATCCTAGGCAGAGCCACCATCCACGTGAAGTACAACGACTTCGACGGAAAGCTACCCATCACCATCGTGCAGCACAGCCGACCGAACCTGTTGGGTGTGGAGTGGTTCAAGCCGCTAGGACTTTCACTTCAGGGCATCCACGAGATCCGCAGGGACGAACTCGACTCCATCATCGAAGAGTTCAAAGAAGTCTTCGATGGTAAGCTGGGGAAATTTGTGGGGAGGCCAATCTCCTTTAATCTGGACAAGGGAATCACCCCAATCAGGCTCAAGCCCCGCCGAGTTCCATTTGCCCTGCGGCCTAAAGTAGATGAACAGCTGGATAAGCTGATCGCCCAGGGCGTCCTGGAACCGATCGATCATGCCTCATGGGAGACCCCCATTGTGACCCCACTGAAGCATGATGGGTCTGTGCGCATCTGTGCTGACTACCGTTGTACCATCAACAAGGCGTTGGCACAGAGCGCATACCCAGTCCCAGTGGTGCAACATCTGCTGCATTCCCTGGGATCTGGATCAATTTTCGCGAAACTGGACCTGGCCCAGGCTTACCAGCAACTGCCAGTGGATGACAAAACGGCAGAGGCTCAAACAATTGTCACGCACAGAGGGGCATTTAAATGTAACCGCCTCCAATTTGGAGTCAGCGCTGCCCCTGGTATCTTCCAATCCATGATGGAACGCCTTCTCCAAGGCGTTCCAGGGGTGGTGCCTTACTTCGATGATGTGCTCATCTCCGGTGACTCAAGAGCCCAACTCCTTGAAAGGCTCAGGCTTGTCCTGCAGCGGTTCAAGGCCAAGGGTTTGAGGGTCAGGCGGGACAAGTGCATCATAGGAGTACAGGAAGTTGAGTTCCTGGGCTTCCTCATTGATAGCACAGGCATACACCCCACCAAATCAAAAGTGGAAGCAATCCATGAAGCTCCAAGCCCAAAAAACAAAACGGAGCTTCAGGCTTTCCTTGGGTTGCTCAACTTCTACGCCATTTTCTTAAAACAGAAAGCCACAGTTGCTGAGCCACTCCACCACCTGCTGGGGAAATCGGCTTCCTGGAAGTGGGACCAGGAAGAGGAAGCGGCATTCCGGGCCATCAAAGGACTATTGACGTCCAAAAGCGTCCTCATCCAATACAGCGAGACGCTCCCCATCAGACTGACCTGCGACGCGTCGCCTTACGGGGTGGGGGCAGTTCTCAGCCACGAACTGCCCAATGGCTCGGAAGCCCCAATCACGTACTTCTCAAAGACTATGTCCGGCGCAGAACGGAACTATAGCCAGCTGGACAAAGAAGCCCTGGCCATCGTGGCTGGAGTGAAGCGCTTCCACGAATACCTCTACGGAAGACGCTTCACCATAGTCACAGACCACAAGCCTCTCCTGGGACTCCTCGCAGGTGACCAACCAACCCCGACCTTCATGTCCCCAAGAATGATGAGATGGGCCATCTTCCTAGCTGGCTACTCCTATAGGCTCGTGCACCAGCCAGGCACAGCCATAGGAAACGCTGACGCTCTCAGCAGATGCCCGTCGAAGAAGCCGGTCGAAGACCCAGCCCCCACGCTCCACCTACTTCACATTGATGACGACGCCAGCTGCCCGGTGTCATCCGCAGATGTGGCCGTCCACACCCAAAAGGACCCCACACTCCGCCAAGTGAAGTCCTGGATCCTCAGAGGGTGGCCAGCGGAAAAGCCAGAGGAAAGATTCAGCCCGTTCGCCAGGAAACAGGAGGAGCTGTCCACCATAAAAGGCTGTCTGCTATGGGGAGACAGGGTGCTGATTCCAAGCACTCTGCAATGGCGGACGTTAGAGACCCTGCACAAGGGGCATCCGGGCATCGTCCGCATGAAGGCCCTGGCACGGAGTTATGTCTGGTGGCCCTCCATGGACAGAGACATTGAACAATGGGTCTCCAGATGTGACCCGTGCCAAGAAGTTCGCCCAGCGCCGCCGCAATCCGAACTCGCGAAGTGGGAGACCCCCAGCAACCCCTGGTCGAGGATCCACATCGACTTCGCGGGTCCGATGCAAGGGCGACACCTCCTCATCGTGGTAGATGCCTTCTCCAAATGGCTCGAGGTGGTGCCCATGGCATCCACCACAACAGATGCAACGATCCGAGCCCTGCGCCGCCTTTTTGCCACACATGGTCTACCGGATGTGCTGGTCTCAGACAACGGCCCCCAGCTCACATCCCTGGCCATGGAGTCCTTCCTGGCAGGACTGGGCATCCGCCACGTCCTGTCCGCCCCTTACAGGCCGGCCGGAAACGGACAAGCTGAACGCATGGTCCGACTGACCAAAGAGGCCCTCACCAAAATGGGCCCGGGGGACTGGCAAGAGCGCATAGACAATTTCCTCCTCACCCAGCACATCACGCCACACGCCACCACCCACAAGAGCCCGGCCGAACTGTTGATGGGCAGAAGGTTGAGGTCACCCTTGGACCGGCTGCACCCCCAATACAGCCCGGAAGTGACCGCAACCGCCAGCCGCCCGCTTCGCGCCTTCAGCAACGGAGATTCAATTTTCGCGCTGAATTTCAGCGGCTCTCCTAAATGGCTGAAGGGGAAAATTGCCAGCACAACCGGCCCCAAATCCTACATCGTCGAGTTGGAAGATGGACAGTTCACGAGACGCCACATCGACCAACTCCGAAAAAGGTGGGGGGGAGCACATGAAAACCAGCCTGACGAGGTAGGCCTACAACACCCCGGCGAGGTAGGCCTGCGACACCCCGACGAGGTAGGCCTACCACACCCCTGCGAGGCAGAGCAGCACCACCCCGACAAGGTCGGCCCAGCCCACTACCAGATGCTGTCACGTCGGCAGCCCAGCGAGGTAGACCGGGGCCAATCACACGGGGGGTGGCAACACCAACCCAGCCAGGTGGGCACCGGGCACGGCAAGGCCAGGGACCACCAACCCAGCCCGCAGGTAGACCGGGACCTGCCCAGAGGAGGAGCAGCGCACCCCACCAGTTACAGCAGCCTATGCCAGCCCAGCCAGGGAGACTGCAGTTCCAGGCGAGTAGACCGGGACCCAGCCAAGACGGGCACCCCACAACCCACGGGCGAGGGTGGCACACGACTCACCGATGTGGGGGACCCCCGCCCATCACAGAAGACAGCCAAGAAACGACACCCCGACCCGGATGGCCCCAGGCACCAACCAACGGTAGACCAGGGACTAGGGGGAAGGGGAAGCCGACAACAACCTGGCCAGGGAGACCTGCACCACCCCGGCAGGGGAGACCTCCGCCGCCCCGCAGAGGTAGCGCCGCAACAACACCCCGACCAGGTCGACCACCGCCGACCAGACGAGGTAGACCAACGCCAGCCCAACCGAGGGGACCAACGCCACCCCTGCGAGGTCGGACGGCACAACGACAACAACGCAAGCCAGCACCACCCGAACCGAGCGGAACCACCAACCGAGCGGCAGCAAGCCGGACCGAGACCGAACCACAGCGCCCGGGACACCAGGGAGGAGCAAGAAATGGACTTACCAAGACTCAGACGCTCTTCCCGGGTCGGAACCGAGCGACCGAGACGAGGCGAGAGATCCACAGGCCAGGAGGAAGACCACCAGGACCAGCCATCCAAGGTCTGCGGTCCGGCCGGAGGCGCTGGGGGTGGCCCCGCTCACTCGACAGCCGAACCGAGCCCGGTTCCGGAGAGGGAACCAGGAGACGAAAGAGCCCCGTCCTTCCAGGTCGGAGACGGAGGAGAAGTGAGACTGCGCAGGTCAGCTAGGGTGCCGAGGCGTCCGGCGTACCTGCGCGATTACGTGACTTTTGTGAACGAGATTGACAGTTCGGACTAAGGGGGGGGGGAGTGTTATGTCCTTATAAGGACATCCGCCCTGATTGGCTGCCAGCCATCGGGCGGGAAATTTGAATCCCTGTCAAGGGGCGGTGCGTCTGCCGGGAGCGAATATAAGGAGAGCTCCGGCAGCGCGCCAGCAGTCTTGACTCGTTACTTTGTACCTAATAAAGTTATTAATGTATCGAGCTGGTCCAGTCTTCCTTTCCTGCGCCTGATTCAACACAATGAACTAAATATTGTAATCGACCTCTATACAATCTAGAGTCTAGGATTATCTTAACCTCATAGTGAGTCTCCCCTTGTACCACTATAGGCTTGGGCAATAGTCAGTCCTGTGGCCTCAATCTTGACCCGACTGCTTTAGTAAACTACAGTGAAAGACAGGATGCACTTTCCCTAGTATGCGTGGGAGGTTAAGCTGAACTGTTACTGGGTTAATTACTTTCACTATTGAGAAAGGTCCTAAAACTTTTGGCCCCAGTTTTTTACTGGGCAACTTCAATTTTATATATTTGGTTAATAGGTAAACCCAATTTCCCACATGGAAGGGGGGCTGGAGAGATTAGTGCTTATCCACTTGTTTTTTATATGCCTCAGTGGCTTCTGCCAGTGCTTTCTTGGTGTTTTCCCACCCTTTTTTTAGTGATTCCATCCACTCGGTCAGAGTCATGGAGGAAGATGGCTCTCTGGGCAGCTCGGGCATAGGGACAAAATCCATGCCGTTGGTGACCTGAAAGGGGGTCAGCTGATGCTACTATGTACGGCATTGTTGTAAGTAACTTCTGTGAACGGCAGCAGGTCTGCCAAATTCTCTTGCTGGTAATCCATATAACATTTTATATATTGTTCCACCATTGCGTTCACTCATTCCACAGCTACATTTATACTCAGATGGCAAGCCGAGCTAAGTCCCTGAGTGGACCTGTGTGAAGGAGGTTCTGTGTTCGAATGGACCATGACCCGATACGCACACAAACGCACCAAAGCATGGAAGCTGACAGAGGAGTCTAGAGAAACTATTTCATTTAATAAAAACACATAAAAACAAAACCTACAAGAAGGTACCAAACGGCCTGAAAGATTCTCCTCTTAGCAAAGTCCATCAGCTCTTATCTCTTCCCACAGCGTGGGAGGCTCTCTGGGTTCTTTGTCCGTCTTCCAAGGAGCAAGGCAGTGACTCAGCTCTTTTTGTGTGCTCTCAGCATAATCTCAGCAAGGTCTCATCTGGTCTCATCTGGTCGAGTCAGATCTGATCTGGCCGGAATCTTGTGTGTGTTGGCTGCAGTCCTGCTGCTGCTTATATGTGGGTTAATTGTCCGTTGGAAAAGGCGGGAAGCTCAGAGCCAGAAAGCTGTGCTCTGATTGGTTCTTTCAAACTGTTCAAACTGAAAACCAATCAATTGGCTGCAGCAATACGCTGAGAGGTTTTTCCTTTCACAACCTGACCGATTTCAGGAACTCCCTCCAGAATTTAACAGTGAATTGGATGCCTCAGTCTGAGATTACCCAGTGGAGTACTCCGTGCAGCTGGTATATCTGCTTGATAAACATCTTTGCCAGTTTCTTCACTGAGGGTAATCCTGAACAAGCAGTGAAGTGGGCTTGCTTGGAAAATAAGTCAATCACCATCCAAATCACTGTATTTCCTCCACGCTCTGGGAGCTCGACTGTAAAGTCCATTGCGATTTCCTCCCTGGGGTTAGCCATTTGTTGGAGGAGCCTAGGAGGTTTCCCGGGTCTCATTTTCATGGCTGTGCAAGTGGCACAGCTTTTTATGTAATCCTCCATGTCGGCCTTCATCTTTGGCCACCAAAACTGCCTTCTGGACAGGTGCAGAGTTTTCAAAAAACCAAAATGGCCTGCCAGTCATGAGTCATGGCTGCGCTGTAAGACTTCCAGCCTCAAGCTGGTAGGGACATTTTGGTTTTTTGAAAACTATGCACCTGGCCAAAAGACAGTTTCTTTACTCCCTTAAAGAAAATGTCTCCAGGAGAGGAGGGCCCAGTGGACTGCGTAGACCTCCTTTTCTCAAATTGCCCACACTAATTCTTTTGGGGCCCAGCCCGCTTGCTTCAATGCCTTGATCTGGGCTTCAGCTTCTTGCTGGATACTGGAACTCCCCTGATGCTGCAGGCTTGCCTGAGGTCTGGATCCAGGGCGTTTCTGGCGCTACAATCCAGGTTTTGACAATGAAGGGGTGGATGGCTTCACTTATCATCGGGTCATCTTCCCAAGTGATGGTTGGTCCCCATTTGTCTAGCCAAGCAAGGCCCAATATAATTGACTCAGTTATTTTGGTAGCTACGACAAATCGGATGAGCTCTTTGTGGCGCCCCATCTCCAGTCTAGCAAGTTCTGCGACCAAGGTGGCAGGGGCTTACTATCAGCGTCCCATCAACCTGTTCAAAATGGATGGGGCGCGCTAGGGGTCTCGTGCCTATCCCTAGCTGTTGGACTATGGGGAGGCTGATCAGGCATGTGGTACAGCCAGTGTCTATGATGGCCTCTACCTCCCCTTGGGCTCTCGTTTCTGGCACTACAATCCAGGTTTTGATAGTGAAGGGATGGATAGCTTCACTTACCAATGGGTCGTCTTCACCGCTGCTCCCTTCAGCGGAACCCAGAGGTGTTTCTCTGGCTGGAGTTTCCTCATTCCCAGTTGGAGGTGGCAAGTGTGTAGGGCCTGGCATCCCCGGTGACCATCTTACCTTGAAGCCTGAATGTGTTTTGAGTGCTTCCCTTTTAGCCAGGATGCCAGCCTCCACATGCTCACCATCTCCAGGCATATGCCCAGGGGGCAAGGGGGCAGGGCTGAGGTGGCAGAGGTTGCCCCTCATGGGCTCAAGGGTAGCCCCATGGGTCAGATCTAAGGCTGACCATGTTCTGGTCTGGATGGCTACCTGTTGCGGCCCTCCAGCAGCCAGTGGAGCTGGCAGCAGATTCAGACAGTGAGGAAGTTGGGGAGCAACATGGGCTAGTCCTGGAGTCTGGCGAAGGCTCTGATGAGGGCTCTGCGTCGGAGGCAGAGAAGGGGCCAGGGCCGTATGCTAGGTATCAGTTGCCTTCAGAATCAGACATCAGTGAGGCAGATGGACAGCTGGAGCCTGTTTCCAGTGTGCACATGCACAGAGTTGCCAGACAAAGGGAACAGCTAAAGAACAAGGGTCTACTTGGGAGTAAGGCCACAGGTGGATGATGAATGGTCCCTCCCAGAGGGAATAAAAGAGGAGTGAAAAGGAAGTGGAGTTTTCAGGAGACAATTAGTTTGCTAAATTGGTTCGTAACTCTCAGAGATTTCTTGCCAAGTTTTGAAGATATCGGCCTGGCAGCTCTCCAAGCCAGATGAGGTCTATGACTGTAAATTTTCCCTTGAAAGACTTTGCTGGATGTGAATGAGAGGAATTCACAGTAACTTGATAAAAAGGGGTTTTTGTCAGGACAAGGAGTCTGCTTCATGCTCTTGGGAAGCCTAGGTCAGATCACTACCACAAGTTGTAGATCAGTGCCATGCCCTCCACCAGTGCTTCTATGGGCCCCTCACAGACTTGGCTTTGCAGCACGCGAGCACTTTCCTTTCACTGGGACCATCCATGCCCCTGCGTGGGAAAACCACAGCCACAGGGAAAACAGCCAATCTCTCCCTCTCCCCTTGTCCCTTCCTGAGCATGGAGAGAGGGAAGGAAGGAGATGGGCAATGGTGGGATTCAAATAATTTAACAACCAGTTCTCTGCCCTAATGACTGGCTGGGTAGGGTGGTCATGTGACTGGGCGGGCATGGCCAACTTGACATCTCTCATGTTGAGGGTCACCTCACCTGACTTCCTCGCCATGCCCCGGTCCCTCCCTGCCATTCCTTGTCATGCCCAGCCCCTCGCCTCAAAGGCATCAACAAGATATAATTTCCCTCTCTATTTATTTACTACTACTGAACATCCAAAATACACTATTTAATCCTATGTATATATGCTATATGTGCCATTTGACACTGTTGATCTCCTCTCCCTAGATACTGTACCTAAATACTGTAGGAGTAAATTTAAACATTACAGATTGCGTATATCCAGTACATATCCAGAGTGGCATCTGTGCAGTGAGGTCAAGGGTATCAGAGTAGTGGATGCCACCAGGTGTTGTGGTCCGCCAGCAGCCTGTGGAGCTGGCAGTGGAGTCGGACAGTGAGGAGGCTGGGGAGGACAATGGGCCAGTCCTGGAATCAGGGGAAGGCCCGGACAAGGGCTCTGTGTTGGAGGCAAAGATGGGGCCAGGGCCATCTGGGAGCAATGTGCAGACTGTGGAGCCTCCAGAGGCAGATAGCACGGAGGCAGAGGAACAGGACTGCTCCTAGTACATGCATGTGAAGGACTGCCAGAAGGCAAGAGCAGCTAAAGTAAAAAGGACGACTTGGAAGTAAGGCCAGGAGATGATTGGCCCCTCCCAGAAGGCTTAAAAGAGCAGCAACGACTCTTGGGATCTTTGTAGGAAAGCAATGTTGCTACATTTGTTTCTTGTTGGCATCTCTTGCTTCTGAACTTCGTGGGGTTCTGCCAAGAAAAGCCTTTAGCAGGGTGCCAAAGAAGACAAAGGTTGGTGATAAGGTCGAAGGACTGTTTATGAAGAATTTGTTTTGGAATTAATTTGGACTAAGCTGAGAATGAAGTAATTCTCAACTGTTCTAATAAAATATGTTTGTTTAGGACTGATTGTGTCTGGTAATAACTACTTGGGCCTAGGTCACAACACCAGGGACATCAAAGTCCTGTGAGTTCTTAGGAGTTCTTTGAGAGCAAATTCTCTTTATTTTCTCAGGATTTTAATTTTTTTTAGCATTTTTGTAAGTTTTATTGGTATTTCTATTTTCTATTGTCTTGTTTATTATATTCTTATTGCCATTATTATAGCATCTACTGGTTTTTTGCAGTTCTGCTCTTTAGAAATATTGCTTTAATACCATGCAAACTTTATGCAGAGCAGGATACTAAAGAATAAATCATTTGTGTAATTGGTTTTATTTGTATGCTGCCCAGTCATTTTGAGTGAGATTAGATAGATAGATAGATAGATAGATAGATAGATAGATAGATAGATAGATAGGCAGGCAGGCAGGCAGGCAGGCAGGCAGGCAGGCTGGCTGGCTTGTGTGTGTGTGTGTGTGTGTGTGTGTGTGTGTGTGTGTGAGAGAGAGAGAGAGAGAGAGAGAGAGATGCAGGAAGATAATGGACCTGAATGCTCTCTCCCCTCTCTCTGGGCTGGGCAGTGGTTCGGCTTTCCCAGCTGGCCGTGACCCCAATCCCTGCCTGCCCTTCCCTTCTTCCCATGGCTGGTGGCAGAGAGGAAGGCTGAGCCACCACTGCTCGCCCCTTGCCCGAACTCTCCGCTGCTGGGCCTCGCCTCGCCAGGAATCATGAGGCTGCATCACCCACATTGTCCCTACATCAGCCAGCTCTCCCCGGCCATCCGCCGACCTGCTGGCCCATGCCCTTTGCGAGCAGCAGGGCGGGACCAGCCAATGGAGGGATCAGCTGGTTTGCCAAACTGCAGAAAAAGTTAGCTACCAGTTCAGGTGAACAGGTGCAAACTGGCTGAATCCCACCACTGGAGATGGGAATGAGAAGGGGGAAGGGAAGGGAAGGGAAGGGAAGGGAAGGGAAGGGAAGGGAAGGAAGGAAGGAAGGAAGGAAGGAAGGAAGGAAGGAAGGAAGGAAGGAAGGAAGGAAGGAAGGAAGGAGATTGGAG